CCCCAATCGCGATACGGAAATCAGAGCAGTCTCATCACCGCTGCCGCCACAGCTCCCGCCGCAGGTCCCACAGCTCCCTATCGAAAACATAGTGTTAACTGTAGACGGAACGTCGAGGGGATGGGGATAAATCCGTCCTGCTTCCGGTTTCCATTTCGCTGAACGGTGTACCGCAGGCATCGAGGTTCCGTGGCGTGGGGTGGGCGGTGAGTAAAAGAATCACAGGAGAGAGTGGCGCTGTTTGGTCTGATGAACAGTGTGCGGGTCGCTGCTACGCGGCGTGAGATCTTAGCCGAGGAAATGTGATCAACGATTGGTTTATGAGCTCCTGATTGGGGAGGGGTATAAGTATTTACAGCATGCTTGGTATTTACGCCTAAACACGAACGTATTTACGTTTTATGTGTGAGAATAGTTTCACGTTTTCACGTCACAGATGTGTAAAATACAAAATACGTAAATACGCAAATACGTAAATACAACGTAAATACAGCCCCGTGTACATAAGAACAGTAAGAACAGACTTTGGGAGTCTGGGGAATGGCAGGCAGACACCATGGAATGGAAAGAAAGCGAGTTTTTGTTCCGTGCCGCTGTTGCCCTTGCCGAGGGCGAGGTGGACACCGTGTTGCAGGTGCTGGAGATGGCGGAAGACTCATCATTATAGGCGACTTTCATAATATTATGAATCTGACACATTAATGTGACTTTGGTGGCCCAGCGAGCCATAAAAAACGTAAGATGCCCGTAAAAGAGCCCCTTTCGCAAATTTACGTTTTTATGTGTACAAGCGTAAACGTCAAAATGTGAACGTACACGTAAATGCCAACCCTGGTTTATAGGATAGAGTAACATGCTTTATGTACAGACAGGTAGCGGTACCTGCATGTTGATACATGAGGGATGATGGAACATCGCTAGGCGTCGCGACAAAAACTTCGATGGGGTCCAACGCGGCCCGGTATGGTGAGGTCGGCCGCACACCGGCGCTGACACATCATGAACTGCAAGCTTTTGTGTGTGAGCCACGGCTTCTGCAGGTGCCAGCAACCAGCTGGTTGCTTGGCACCAAAACAACGGTGGAGGTGGATCCCTGGCGGTCCGCCGCCTGAAGCACGGGCGCATGACCACTAAATACGTGAAAATTGCGCATTGCAAGAAGGGACACGGCTTTCCGGCTTTCCTTTTCTGCCATCAAGGGTGCAAATTTGCATTTAAATGCGCTGTTGCAGACTACACGACCTCCGCGGTTTTAATACCTAAAGGGAGCCACACAGTCCTGGCACCCAATAGCGGTGGTGTTATGGTTGCGTAAATACATCACCCTGCAGGCCTGTTGCTGATGTATGAGCCATTATTACCAGGCTTGGTTTTTACACCGTAAAAACTGATCGTCTTTATGTTTTTACGCGTAAAAAAGCAGTTTTCACGTTTTTAAGCGTAAAAACGCGTAAAAGTACGTAAATAAAACTTAAAACCGCCCGTGTACATAAGGACAGTACATACAGACTTACGGAGTCCGGGAAGTGGCAGCCAGACGCCCTGGAAGGGGCAGAAAACGAGTTTTTGTTAAGCACCATCATCGCCTTTGCCAAGGGCGAGGTGGACACTGTGTTGTGGGTGCTGGATATGGCGGAGGACTGATCATTGTGCGCAACTTTCATCGTGTAATCTGGGCGTCCCAGGGAGCAGGCTTGGTTTTTACGCCGTAAAAACTGATCGTATTTACGTTTTTACGCGTAAAAATAGTTTTTACGTTTTTACGCGTAAAAATGCGTAAAAATACGTAAATACAACGTAAAACTGTCTGGTGTACATAAGGACAGTACATACAGACTTGTAGAGTCCGGAGAGTGGCAGTCAGACGCCTTGAAAGAGGCAGAAAACACTAGAAAAAAAGGGTCAAATAACACGTGTTCAAACGTGTACAAAGTTTACGGGTTTGTGTTATTTTTGTGTTCTTAGCATGCAGAACGTTGATGAAATGTGTTTTATGTGTGTTCGCAAAAGTGTTATTTGGCCCTTTTTTCCTAGTGAAACGAGTTTTTGTTAAGCGCCATTGTCGCCCTTGCCAACGGCGAGGTGGACATTATGTTGCAGGTCCTGGAGATGGAGAAAGACTGATCATGGTACCCAACTTTCATCGTGTAACCTGCGTGTGCCATGGAGCCGTAAAAACGTAAAAATAGCCGTAAAAATAGGCCCTTTTGCAAATTTACGTTTTTACGCATAAAAACGTAAAAGTGAAAACGTAAACGTAAACGTAAAAACCAAGCCTGCCAGGGAGGCGTATAAACGTAAAAATAGCCCTTTTGCAAATTTACGTTTTTACGCGTAGAAACGTAAAAGTAGAAACGTGAACGTAAACGCAAAAACCAAGCCTGATTATTACCAACGCATCATTCTTTACTTAACGCGACACCGTATGTCGAGCCCTTCTTCGTTTCAGAAGTTGAGGGTTGCGGTATCGCCTCGGCATTTTTGGGACTGACAGTAACTACAGTTTGAGCTCCACGTCTTGCCCAGTGGGGCACATTACACGCAACGTGAATTTGGAGTACTTTGGTTTCAAAGCAAGTTCGACAACCATGCAACGTTTGCTGTCAATGCCACGTGTTTCCGTGATTGGTTCACGTCCAATCCTTCTTCAAACTGGCCCGCAACTGCATGTTCCCAAGGTGCATGCACCCTCACAATGGGCGTTAAAATGTCTTTTCGCCTACACGCACAAGGTAGTGACCGTGGACGCATGCCGGCTGCAGATCAACGGCGATGAAATTCTGCATGGGGTCAGCGGCGCTCATCACAATGGCCGACATTGGGCTGAGCTACCACTGGTGAGAATTCGCAAATAGAGCCACCACAAAAAAAAGGCAACATCCTGCATATAACTGTCCATTACAATTGTGACAGTACCGCAATTGGTGCCACGGAGGATTGCACACATCACTGGTTAAAATTCGACCATTTTACACGGTGTACAATTGGACAAAATCGTGTTAATATCGTGTACAAATCGGGTGCTTCAGAGCACGATTTTACACGATTTCTATAATCGTGTAGTTTTCAACCCTGTGTAGTACACAAAGGTGGTCCACCTTACCACCATGGACAACACGACAAAGCACACGGTTTTACACGATTTCAACAGCGTACCAGCGGCAAATGTATATGTTGTGATTAGTACACGATCGGTACACGATGGTCACACGACCTCCACACCATTCTGACATGCGCAACACGGTACACGAATTTCTGGACCGTGTACTTTTGCCGTTTTTTTACCAGTGCATGGAGCGTCATTCTGCATTGTGCAACAGATGCAACAGCATTATTAACCGCGACTGAGCAGTCATCATCATCACCATCAAAATCCATGGATTACATTCGTCACAAAATGACAAAACACAGCCCGTGCACCTGGTAGGCGATGATGGGCGTGAAAACCAAGCAGATAGTGTATTCAGAATCGATTATTCATGGTCCCATATCGCCAACCCCCGTTGTCCCACAATAGGGAGGGATCCCACATGTGGGGGTCCCACATGACTGAGCAGTCATGCAGTCTTTGTGTTGTGCAACGCATACGGCACAGAAGCGACATGCAACGAATGTACAGCACTGCATCCAATGCAGCAATCGTGACTTGTAGGCGCCTGGTAGCATATCCTGGCGCCCAAGTCAGCACGCATGGTATATGGCAGTTGGGGAACATTCCCCAACGGCTGTGCGGCGACGCCTGGCCGCTGCTGCCAGGGCGGTGCGCCCAATGTGTTCGTATTGCTAGTGCGTTGCTGGGTTAGCCTCACAATGCTGTGCATGTCGTGATGTCTCAATCCAGTGCTGGTCCAGGTGCTTGCATATGGGTGTGGGTATGCCGAGGGGTGGCCGCCGCAAAACATGCAGCGCCCCCATGGCATAGGACGACAAGGCACGGAGACAAAGACCCAAAACAATCTGAGCGGCATGACGGAGTCGTTAGATTTGGTTGGGTAGGGCTTGCGCGCCACCCTTGCTTCCAATCCGCTGCCACAAGTTCTGGGAGAGTTCGCACAACACCTGATACAACCCTCGCTGGCCTCGAGAGTTTACGGGCAGGCCAAGAGTCAGCACTCGTTGGCATTCACCAGCACCGTTGACTTCGCGAGCCTGCATTATGTTCTTATCCCACGGGCGTGTCTTTAGAATGCGTGCAGCAGAACGTGCTGCTGGCTTTTAGACCCTTCCACACCATAACGTGACGCTTGGCCTTCTTTTGCAGAGAAAACGATAAAATAAATAGCGTTCTTTCAACAAAATTTGTGCAGAGCCACATAAAAATAATAAAAGCAACGCTCTGAAAAACAAATGCGGAGCACAAAATATAACGGCAAAATCTTGTCATGTGGAAGTGTTGAACACACAGCAATACCAAACTCAGCCCAGAACTGGCTGTGGTGCCCGGCACAGTGCCAAGGTGTGACTAGTCATATTCGTTTAGAAAAGCGGTCGCCCCTCAGAACCGGTCGCTATTGCGGAGCCGCGACTCAGCCGGGATCCCACCTGATCCCACCGATCCCACCAGCCCGCATGCCCCGCACTCATCCAATTGTTTCCTCCAATTCGGGGCCCCTTGGCCCACAAGCCTTGCCCAACGGGCAGCCCGTTTCTGGCACCAAATCCTGCCCCGGCCGGTGCCAGGAGGGAGGGGCAGGGGCCCACCCCGCAGAGGCCTCCCTCGACCTCCCCAGGCCACCTTGGGCTCGCGGCACCTCCTGCACCGGCAGACAAACTCTCCCCTCATCCCTTCCTACCCTTCCCTCATCCTTCTTTCATCGACTCTCCCCAGCATCGACCTTCGTTGATTGATTTCAGACTCAATGCGGCCTGCGGCCCGGCCACAGACGGCCGGGCCGGCGGGCGCCGCGCCCTGGCGGCGCCCGACCTGCCCGCCAGGGCAGGCGATCCGCCGATCCCATTCCGGGATGTTCGAATCGCTGCGCGAAGCTGGATCGGCGTTGATGATGCCCGGCCGCGGGCCTCGCCACCGCCGGAGAGCGGCCCCGACGGTGGTGTGCTCCGCGGGGCCGAGCAAGCCGTACCGGGTGGTGGAGGGCGCCGTGCGGCGCGTCAACAAGTGGCTGAACATCCGTGAGAGGATCGCCCGGCGGCGCGCGGACAACGCGTCGGACGACGGGGAGGGGGGGTGGGGGGGGCGGGGGCGGAGGGAGGGCCGGAGGCGGAAGATCGGGCTGCGGGTGAAGGCCAACGGGCGGAAGGAGCTCAGAGTAGGTGGGGAGTAGGCTGGCGGGTGAATCGGGGAACTGCTGCTTTCGTTGCAGCGCATGTGGCTTGTTGATTCAGACAGGAGTGCTTGCGCGTCAAGGGAGGCCACGCGCGCGCCGTAGGCAGGCAGGCATCCAGTTTGGAGCTGTGTTTGTCGCCGTTGGTGCGATCGTTGTGTGCCGCTTGCCTGCGGTAGGGCGTTGCCGGTGGCAGTGCCCGGTGCACGCGCGTTTGCAAATCTGCTGCAGGTCGGGGCGTGTTGGCACGAGAGAGCCTGTGCGCTGCTGAGATGCATTAGAGGGACCACCCTGAAATTAACTGGATTGGGTCCTTTTCTGCTTGACGGAGTCTCATGAGCTGTCAACGACAAGTGTGACAATGGAGCAAGGAGCTTGTTTTAATGAAGGCCACTAAGGGCACCGTGGGCCTTGTTTATGTTATCATTTTGCGCTGCTGATGGTGTGTACCCTTCAATCCCATATCGCAACAACCCACGACCTAGGCAGTTATTGGAAGCCAAAGGATTTCATGGCGAGCAACTTGAATGTAGTTGCTTGTTGCAGGCTATTTCCACCTCGCCTTCACAGTCCAGCTTCACAAAGTTCGCAGTCTGGGCAGTCACAGTAAGCCGCTGTTGATCATGGTGGTAGACAAGTGGGCCAGCCTTGCAACTGCGTGCATGGGCACCAGCATCAGCAAATTGCTCTTCTCAGAGACAATTTGAAACAATGGATTACAGCCATGTGGATCAACGAATCCTTTCATGACTGGCTCCTTCAGGGAGGTGCACTGTGAGTTTGGTAGATGGCTGTGGTTGACCTATTGTGGCCATATGTCTTCGATTATGTGTGTATTTTGTGTTGGCAATGTGCCAACACAGTGGGCAGGGGGTTGTAGGACGATTCTTGACAGGGTCATTGTGGACCATTAGAATCGGATATCATCTCAACTATTGCTGGTTGGCACCTGACATGCAATTTGAGAGCTTTTATTTTTGGCATTTGTTTTGAACTGGTTTGTTTCTGCAAAAGGGAGATAATGGTTGTGCCCCCGATCGGACGTTGCAAGCCTACTTGGACCTCCCACCTGAAAAATACTCCTTGCTGGACCCAACGTGGATTGAGAGGAATACTGCTGAAGGTAGGTTGGTTGGGTGGTGGTGGTAGGTTGGTGGGGTGGGTGAGGACCGATGGTTTTGCGGTTAATCAGATTACAAGGAGTTGGGCCGGGCAGCATGCCTGGGAGTTCTTTAGAATGCCAGATTATGTGAATATGTAGGGTGGATGAACATGCTACAAAGCCCCACCAGGTGCTCAATCTGTTTTGATCGGATTTGCAGAATACAGCACAACAGAATGCTTGTTCCATCTTGGCCAAGATGAGAACTGTGAAATCAGGGTTCAGGGTCGTATCGCTACATGTCACAGTACCATGTGCCACCAGCCAACAGATAGGGAAGTGCGCAAGCCTTGTTGGCATTGTCCAGACATTGCATTGACTGGAGTTGTGACATGCGTGCAACTGCAAGGGAATCAAAAAATTCTTCTTGCACAACATATTGTACTAATCGACGCACCTGTGATTCAGAAAAGTAACTGCAAGCTCAACTTGTACTACAAGTGTGTTGTTCCTTTTGGAACATAAGGAATGTGGTTCAGTTCATTGGCCTGGATCCAAGACAGATGATTCTTTGAAGATTTTGTGACAAGCGTTGCAATGGAGTGAATGTCATTTACCTTTTTCTTTTGAAGGTCTGCTGAACAAGTCTGATCTGATCTTTCGGTGCCTCTCATCATCACCTGCAAAACTACAAAGGGGGTGTGTTTGTCATGCCTTTTTGACACTTGTACAGGCATGTATTTGCCATCGCTGACGAATTTTGACAACGAAGATGTTGGGATGCTATTCCTTTTCGCAGGACCTGCATCATTCAAGGTCTTCATTCCTCTTTATGAGCTTGTGGGAATTGATCTGAGACCCATTGCCTACGTCCGAGTCAGGGTTGACAGTCGGCGCCACAAGGTTAGTGCCCTGCACCAAGGATCAGAGGACAGTGACAACCCTCGATGGCTGCAAGGACATTGTTTTGCGTCGTGGTGGATGAATCGATTCAGACTGCCAGTATACCATATGCTTGGATATGTGCACCCATGCTGTTTTGAGTATGGGTGGCTTTACCTGCCCCCAAAGTTGGCATTTCAGACCGATGAAAGGCTTGTTTTATGCTACGACAGACCAAAATGTGCGCGGGCCAACTGTATGACATCCAGAGCTAGGCATTGTCTCGGCCCATCGTATCATACCTGAACAGGAACCTTCACCAGATAGCCTCCCTATGGTATCCCTTCACAGCAAGGTGCCCATACATGGCTGGTCTGGATGAGTGCCACTGACAATTGAGCCTTTCAATGTCAGTGTGTTGTCAAAATGACACAGCTATCCACACTGTATGCGATACCTCAACTCTTTTGCGGTGCTGCTTTTGGGATGGACATGAACATATGCATTTTGGGTGTGAAACAGTTGCTGTCCTACATTGTCTCAAATTTGGTGTTGTGAACTCTTGGCAGAGAATACAGACCAAACACAACTGCCCCAAAGGAACACACTTTGGCCAGTCAATTTGCACTTGAAACCTTGGAAGGTCGTCCTTCAGCGATGGGGTCTCGGGCACAAAATCATTTCTGGCACTGGGGGAGTAGCATGGAATCCACATGCTATTGATCCAGTCGCACATTTGGCTACAATGCATGCCCTATGGAGGTCACAGGCAGGCAGAGTCATAGCATGTGCCTGCCAGGGTCACTCTATATCTGGATCACGAAGCTACAAGGAGTACACCGGACCAGCCAACATGGGACAAAAAGGTGCCAGTGACTGCATTCCATGTGCTTTGTTCAACAGTTGGTCCACTCAACGCCTTTTTTGTCCCCTATGTTCGTTGATGCAATTTGAAGCACCCACGCATGAGCTTGCCCCTGCAGGTGCAATTCATGATCGATGGTTTCTCACTGGGCGTCCCGCACCTGGACCGCCACTTTGCTGTCCGCATGAAGAGCACCATGTTTGCAACGCCGGCTGGCACCCGAACCAGGGCCCCTGGGTCTGCTGGGGTCCTGCCCGAGGACGATTCGATCCTTGCAGATATAAGGGACCTGGAGGCGCTGCAGCGGGCAGGCGTGCCACTGGAGGAGGAGGAGGTGGATGGCGTGACGGGAGAGCTGGTGTGTGTTTTGCTGTGGGTGTTTGGAAGACATCCATCGAGTACTGTGGTCACATTGGTATTGCCACTGGGAGCTGCTAACCACTCCTCTGGCTCGTTGTGATGCATGTGTAACTTCTGGACAACCGTTGTGTGACAGGACAAGGATTAACTGGCCCTTAAATTTAGAGAGCTGTACAGCATCAGATCAGTGACAGTTCAGCTCCTAATGTGTGCTCATAGTCCAGCTGCCGCTCTTCCAATAATTTGATTTCTAATAGTTCAAGAATATTCAATTGGGCCAGCTCACGCACATAACACAGCGACACCAAACAGTTGTGCAACATTGATCTGCCGGATGGCACAGCCCTTGTTCATGTTCACGCGTGGGGCATGTTGTGTGATGGCTCGGTGTCCATATGAAGCTGTCTACTTGTTGAAACTTGGCAAGGCACTGTCGTTGTGCGTTTCAGAATATGATATTCACCAGATCCCCAAACACACCCAGCATCCACATTTGCAAACCCACACGACTTCTTTCTGTGCGCCAGCTCAGAACAGAGATTCGGACATAGATCCATTGGCAGTGGGACTGGCGTCTGTTTCCATGTTGATGTTGGTTGTAGTTGTGGTCAAGAAAAGATGCAGCCACTGATGCAGGCACATTTAGACGTACCATCCGCTGCAGGGGGCTTCTGCCATGATTGAAACTGTCCCATCCACTGTGCACAGTGGAACTCCTTTTGAATTCATGGGCGGTGGCAGCATTTTCCCAGGCATTCACAAGGCAAAGAATGGCAGTCTGTTGTTCTAATCTGCTCATGCAACCCATGGCTTTCAGAGTCGCCCAACCTTCAGTCCATTTCGAATAGGTTTAACCCTTAAGTACGACCGTGCCCTTCGTTTAAGACGCTGCCACTGGTGGATGTCCATGTGCAGGAAGTGCCCCAGCTCTCGTTCGATGGATTTGAGAGCACAGGCTTTGGCAGACAGGAGGAGATGCACCAGGGAACAGAAGCTGTGGAGCTCGGGGGGAATGGCTGTGGGAATGAGGTAGAGATTGGGCATCGTAACGATGAAGACGTGCGCCAAGAGATGAATGGGACGGTTGAAATGCAACAAGAAGCTTGGAAGGAAGACACTGGATCATCAGGTAGCCAAGGTGAGGGGCTTCCTGGTAGCCTCTCGAATGGTGTTGCTGGTGGCTTGCCAGACAGCATGCAAAACAGGATTGGCTCTCTGGGAGGCGAGGCGCAGCAGGCAGCGGGGTCTGCAGGCGTGACCCTGCAGTGCAAGGTGGTGCTTCAGCTTCAGATAACGATACCCGCTGCCTTGTCGTTCGTGCCACGGCTCGTGATAGGCTCCACAGGACGCATTGTCATCCGCGCCGTCCTGCACAGCCTCCTGCCGAGCTTCCTGGACCTTGTGGTCACTGACTATGAGCGGTGGGCTGCCGGCGAGCAGTCAAGGGAAGACATGGTGGGAAAGCTGGTGTCCCAGCGACTGAGTCCGAGGGAATGAGGGCTGCGGGTGAGTGAACATCCTTACAGGCAACATGAGAAATTCGCCACGTTGGTCATGTGACGCGTCCCTGCTGAACTCAAATAGTCAAACAGCGTCCCCTTGCCAGCGGTCTACACTGACCTGACCTGACATTGATTGCTGAAAGGGAATGAGGGCAGTGGGAGCGGAGAGGGCGAGGAGGATGCTGCGGTTTGGGTGCAGGGTGGAAAGTGGTGCTTGTTTGAGGGGGATTTTATTTGCTTTCGAATGGAGACAGAAGCTGGTGGAGGGGCTGTAATGTATGGGGATGGGAGAGCGCGCTGCTTGGAGCCGTATGAACGCGGATTTTACGTGTCCTGTGGCTACGGGGAGTGGAGTGTGGCAGGAACCAGGTCGGAGCTGTTTGAAAAGCGGAAAGATGAAACACTGGGACGCATTCCTTTCGTGCAATACAAGAGGGGCCAATCGACATTTGCCAAGCACTTTACCATAAGACAAATGCGATGCCATGACGACCACCCGATGTGACTGATCCGATGGTTGGCGCCTTCCGCTGACGAAGCCAAGCCGACAGAATGTGGGGCAATGAAGCAAAGACGCAGTTGTTCTCCACGCTGTTCATCCTCAGCACAGGTTGACCCGTCGTTGCTGGCCGGCTGCTGGCCAGTGCTATTGAACTGGGAAACAAAGATTCTGGATATCTGCACGGAAACCAAGGCAATTCTGCCAAAGTGCATCACGACTTCTTCGGTTCCATCCTTGCGGAGTGTTGAATCCGTCTGTCTAGATGCTCACGCTCCAGCCGTCAGTAAAGAAAACACGCGGTCGATTTCTTGGGGCCACAGAATGGATTCAAAGTGCCCGAGGAGGCTTCTTCGTTTCAAAGTATATTCTATGCTAAAGAAGAGGGCGCGAGTCGCCGACATCGGACAGACCAACTGTCTGGAGACACAGGCACCTCCTCTTGGCCTCCACACTGGGGTCGGTATGCCATGGGGTAAAATGTGGAATGCGAACAGTTGGGCATGTTGCTCTGTCTCAGTGCTTTCAACCGTACCCCGCTTCGCAAAAGACGGTTGTTGGGGCGGCCATGGGGCTGCCTAAAAAATGGATGAGACGACAATAGGTATTTTCTATTTGGACGTTTGGTATAGTTGTACATTCTATTTATAGAATGATACAATCTTGCAATGACCGACAATGATAGTTGAAAGTAGACAATCAATCTTGCCCGGTTTCGACACACCAACTCAATGCGGATTTCCGAGACATTGCAGGCGTGGTCGCCTTGTTCCCCCTGCACCAAACCCTGATCTGAACCCCTTGGCAAGACCTGTGGCACCCGCCAAGCGCACCAGAAGGCCATTCCGATGAACCAAATTCCCGGGACATGCAGAACCATCGCGGACAGGACAAGCTTAGCGCAGTGCTGACTCGGCGCCACTGGGGGTCATCAGGAGACAGCCTTGCCCACGAGGACTGGACCCCATACGAACAGAAGCTGCACAGGGCCCCTGCGCCGGAAGCACCCAGGCAGTAGATTCCACCCAACGCAGGTCCAGGGACCCTTTGCGCCACTGGAACCTGACCTCGCAGCCAAGCTTGGCTGGCCGCCGAAGCAAGAAACCAGAGCACCAATTCCTGTACTGTAGGGCACGTGCCCCCAGTGCATAAGACGGGCCTACAAAGGCCGCGGAGCGAGCCACGGCGAGCAGACACGCGGCTCCTTCCGGAAAATTGCGCCACATCTGGGCCATCTCGCAAACGGAGCCTGCGGCGAATTCTCAGGACGGTTGGTTCGGTCGCCGGAAGCATCCGGTCTCTGACCCAAGGGCTGAGAAGGGGGAGGGGGCATGTCGGGCAACGTGGTCCTCCCCAGGCACGTCCTCAAGTGGCTGCTGGGACTGGACCTCTCCCATCCGGTGAAGAACATCCGGAGGTCAGTGGCGCGGCACCGGGCCCGACAGGGGGGTGCTCACCCATCCACCATTGTCGCGTGGTCATGGTGGTATTTTGTTGGAAGCATTTAGAGCAATAGTTGAAACGGGAAACAGGATGGCTTCATGTAGCTGCAGTCGCCATGTGCTCAGCAGCGCAAGCTTGGCGATTTCGCAGAGAGCGTTTGCAAAGTGTGAATGCACAAGTGAGATGCCCTCAACTGTGAACCAAGGTCTGGTTGCCGTGGCAATGAGAGCTCGTGACACAATAACTGGAATGGAAGAAGTCACTTGCACTTCTTTAGGTTACTTCTTCCATTACGCTTTTTGCATTTTGGATGTGCTATGGTCCTAACTACAATTCAGATACACAAATGTAAAAAAAAGTAAATGTAAAAAGTAATCAACCTCAAAATACTGCATGCATATCTCGCAAACTTTGTTTTGCACAATTTCGTCTTGAAGCGCAGAATTTCAAACAAATCGCAATCGACTCGTCTGATGTGATGTCTCCGTGAGGTCAGGGACTTTTCAAATGGCTTCCTCGTGGCCGAGATTCTGTCGAGATACTTTCCATCGGATGTGCAGATGCACTCATTCGAGAACGTCAGCAGCATCGAGAGGAAGAAATCGAATTGGCACATCTTGGAAGCGTTTTTCAAGGTAGGTCGAAATCGGCGCCTAACATACTGCATGCGCACATGCAGGAACATGCGCCCTGCGCTCCAGTATCCCGCCCCCTGTCTTGTTCAGAAGCACTGCATGCCACACCAGTTTTGGTGCGCATGTGGCTTTTGACAGGTTGGCGCTCCTAACGTCATAGCGGTTGCTTTTTCGCACCAGCACATAGAGGACTTGCAACTGCGCAGTTGCTCTCCATGAATAGAGAGCAGCCTCGGCTTCTGCGTTGTCTTTGTGAGACAGTGAAATTCCTCGCACTGTTCACGACGCCGTGAATGTATAATGAAAGCGTACAACCCGGCAACGCACACGCGCCGCATGGCTGGGGCCAACATCCGCGGTCTTTCTCTAACCTTGGACCAGAATTGCTGGCTGATGTCACTTTTGCACGGCCCTTGGACGCAAAGAATTACGTGACGAAATTTCCGCCTTACTTGCCTAAAATCATGGTCTATAAGTATTGATGGAATGCGCCCTGTGTTTAGAAACACCTTTTTGAAGTGGACATATCCCACATCGACGACGTGATGAACTGCAGGGCGGAGGCCACATCAGACTTTCTGTGCAAGCTGCATGAAGCGCTGCATTGCGTCCAGCCGCCTTCGAGGTGAGATCAATGGGCAACTAGAACAGAATGGCCATGCTGAATTTGGAACATCGTACTTGGGAACTCCATTTCTCGCCATTTCCGTATTTACTGAGCGGTGAATTGAATTACGCACATTCAAATTTTCTTAAAATATTGTCAATTCCCCGTATGTGGATTGGCAGCCAATGTGCATTTAAAAGCGTGCGTGTACAGGTATAATGTACGTGAGAAATAGATAATGGAAGTATGGATTGATACTGCTGCAAAAGGTGATGTGTCCTCTGAAGGCAGCGAGAAAGATCAGGAAGAGCTGGCGAAGGGAACTGGAAACCGGGGGAGTTGTGCTAGCTTATGAGACTATCGCAAATTTCAAGCGTGCATATAAATGTGCATGTGAATTTTGTGGTGCCCAGGAATCGATCGCTGAGGCGCCAGCAGTCATGCAAAGACAAGAAAGGCGAGGGCACACAGAGGTCATTGAACAGACCGCCGGCGCTCACGTCGCAAGCCTGTTCTTAACGTCTAGCTGCGCTGCGCGACGATGTCGCATCATCATCGTCATCATCACCAAAATCCATGGATTACATTTGGATCATGGATTACATGTCGCATCGCGTTTCAATTCCAGACTGTTTTTGCATAACGATGCGAAATCAGGCAACATGCAGGAAAACTTCGCAATGCAAGTCTCACTCAAGGATGTGTCCCTGAATGCACAAGAAGAAACATTTCATCTGGCGTTTCAATCGACATCTCCTTGAAAGCAACCAAAATATGTCTTGCAATCTCTGCTCCACTTACATAGCATCATTTGGTGAGCTCTTTCCAAAGCAATTCGGAACAAAACCACCTCCTGATTATCTGCAAAACACCGATCCGGTGTTTGGCGTACTAACGTTCTGATGATTGGAGCATTCCACCTACAAATCAAGAGCTCGACAGCACAAAATTGTTCATTTCTGATGTCATGGCACATTCCTTCATGCCAATGCGCTGTATGCCATCATGACCAACCATGCACGCCATGCTCAGCTAGTTTCGTCTGGGGATCACTCAACAGATTGTTCCTGATTCCATTGCAGGTAGGGGAGCTTCTAGCCAGGGCATGTCACGTGCAACGACAGGAGACACAAGATATTTTCAAGAAAGTTTGGTGCCTGGAGGATCCAGTGTGCATGGGATCGGAAGCTGGGAATCTCTCGGAGAACCAACACTCTCTCGACAGTCAACAGTGACTTTTGTCGACAATGGAGTGGTTCAAATTGTAAGCGCAGTCCGCAGTGAAACTCTGAGGATCCTTGCCAGCAGATTCCGTTATGCATTCAAATTTGTTGGAGCAAAAGAACTTCACTTTTGACATGTACAATATTTGCAGAAGTTCTTTCTGTTGGGGTCCCAGAAATTGCACCAATGGATTTTTTTTCTTTCTGCGGATTTCAAAATACCATGATCTACGTGCATTGGTGGATGTGGAAAGCTATAATTTGCCTTGGCAGCATTTTCCAAAGTTGCAAAATGCTGAAATCGTGGCGGTAGGTGTGTGAACGTATTAAATATCCTCGGCATTCTGCCACGAATGCTGCAAGTTGGCCAGCTGGAAAATATAATGGTCGCACTGCGACATGCTGGAAACGGGTGTCTGGATGGAAATCCGGGAAAAGGTGGAATTCGGCAATTGTCTACACGGCTTTCCAAAGCACAAGCCATGGCGAGTGTATAGTATGGGAAAAATGGCATTTTTAACCCGCAAAAGCAATGCTCAGGCACACGCTGTCGTGTGAATCTAGCAACAATAGAAAATGCAAGGAAATATGCCAAAGAAAATCATTGCACTGGACACCAATCGAACTCAATATAACCCAAACTGTGGCACCTACCCGGCATTCTGGCAGCGCCCACGGCTTGAGCCGTGCGATTCTTCCAGTGGCAAGATCCTGAAGTGTGGAGCATGATGTACAATCGGAAATGAGAACTTACGTAGTCCTGACTCATGTTAAACACTGGCAGGAAGACGATCCCGCTGCAGGGCACGAAGAGTTGCCACTTGTGTTCCCACCTGGGCGCACGGGAGGCGAGCACCAAGAGGAGCTGCCACCAGAGGTTGGTCTTCACCTTGCATCCGACGCGCGCTCTACCGGCCGGAGACGGACGAAAGGGGGACGGAGGGGGGTTAAGCCGAGGGGATTGGAGCCAGCGAGCGATCCAACGCTACCGACCTTCGATTCTCACCGTATACGTGCGGTCACCGGCGCTGACTACCATAGCGGTATGCCTTCTGTCTCGGGCTGGCCGCCTCGAGACGTGGATGAGGATTCCTCTGGAGGGACGGGGGACTACGCAGTCGGGTCCTTGATGCCCAGGGTGCGAACGGGGATCCTAGGTGGGGCGCTTGGTAGGCTGTGTTTGTGCGTGCACGTATTCGTAGGTGTATGTGTATGCAGTCTCAGAAAAGGCAAACGGACAAATTGTTTCAATCTCATTGTGATGCGACAGCGCTACATGCCCATTTCTCTTGCGGCACGGCACTGACTCCGTTTGTATATCAAGTATGGGCCGCATTTCTAACCCGGCTTCAGTGCCTAAAATACACAGTCCTCAACACGCAGCACCATGCTCTGTGTTCTTCGTGAACTTTCGTTACGGATCGTCGGTGCGCCGAGATCAACATGATTTGAGGCGAAATCTGCTGTCAAGGCTGCACCCGTCGAATTCTATTTCACCTCAGGCTGTCAGTCTCGTATGCCCTAATTAGGGCAATTTCATAAAATTGCCTTCTGAATGGCGATGACTAAGTGTTTCAGCACAGCGGCTCGTCATTTTTTCTCAATCCCGTATCCCAGCTCCACTAATGAGTAATGGCATCAAAGCAAGCATTGAGATGCGCATAAGCTCTATGGCCATGAAATTTATTCAGCAAAATTAGTGGCATTGATTCTATAACCATTTCGCAGTTTCTCAAAGCGCTTTTGTACAGCATAAACTGCGGGCAATGGGCATTCTTTGCCAACGCATTTCTTCAACGTTTTTTGGTCCTAGGTTTCGAAGACGGTTCCAGCAACTTCTCTGCCGACGCTTTACACAGAGGAGCGGGCGGCGCCTTCGGCGAAGGCCCGGCGGGAACAACTGAGGCGCTCGAGCCCAGCCTGGAGTTCGACCGCCGGCCCCGCCCCCTGGAATTCGCGCCGTACACGCAACAAGATTTCTGGGCCATGAACTACGATTCGAAACGCCAGAAGGGATATTGGCAGCTGGGAAAGCTCGGCCCCGATCTGGAGACTCAGGGACTGTTGGAGAAGGTGGGATTGAGTTTGGGTACATATGGCCGAACACCGGCGACACTTGCTGGATTGCGTTGAGCGGCCGTGTGGGCGTTGTGGGTAAAATACTTGGCAGTTGCAGCTACCAGCAGACCATAAATGCATTAATTATGCTCGGGCCTCTGGGCTCAGGGGCCATGGATGTCTGCCGCAGGTCTACCAGGGTATAATGCCGAAACGCGGCAAGAAAGTCAGCAGAGTATTGCACAATCATGTAGCGCACAATCACCCAGCCGTCTTGTTCCCAGCAAGGAACTTGTTGCGCCCTTGCACCATCATTGATAGCGAAGGCATCGGCTTGTTGGCAACCTCATCCTCAAAGCCCTTCACGTTCCCGTGGGTGAATCTACGATCCACTTTTGCTTTGCTCAGGCAAAATAGGAAGCTGAAGGCTACCTCATTGCCTTGTTCTGTGAAAAATCATGATGATGATTATGAATCCATGAAACGCGCGGGCGACATCCACCGGCCCGAAAGGGGCCACACAGCAAGGCGGCCTGTCGCGTGGCCATTAGCTCGCATCGCTCGCTCGAACGACTGATTTGAGCACATGTGCGCAAATGAAACTACTGACATTTGGGTGCAATGCAATGTACATTGCACATTGTGCTGCACCCAAATGTCAGTTGTCTCATAATGGCAGACGGCCCTTTGTTCCCATGCAACGCCCTGACTCCACCCTCCCGCGTTGCCCAACCACAGAAGAAGAAGCTCACCGCCGCTCAGCAGTTCTCCCGCCAGGTCGCTGAGCGCAACAAGTCCACCCTCAAGGTGAACGACTCTCCTCTTCAGCAGCAGCCCATTCAGAGGCAGGCGTCCTGCCGGGAGCGGGCCATGCAGTTCGCGAAGGGCATCCCCAGGCCGGCGGCGCCCAAGGCGGCTCGCCCAGCTGAGAAGGAGGCGTCGGGGCGGTGTCGCGAGTGGCCTGCGTCGGAGGAAAACACGCTGGAGGCGCTGCAGAGGCGGCACGCGGAGGACAAGAAGAGGGTGGAGGCCATCAGGAAGGAGCTGGAGCGCATGGGGGCGTCGCACTGAAGCTTAACGTCATGCAGGCTGTGGACATACACGCACACAACCATTTGGTCGGCAGGCTGCGATTCGGCGTGGCCCCCGCGCTGCTGCATCCCGGCTCGAACCGGGCCGTCAGACCTGAGCGCGCTCAGGTCATGCATGTTCATGTACGTGCATGTGCAGCGCAAATTACGAGGGAGGTGTTTGTTCGGCATTCAGTCGCCGTCGCGAGTGTGCAAGGACGCGGAAAAGGCTGCCGCTGGGTCGTCTGGTCAGATGGCATCTGTGCGAGACTTCCGTTTGGCGTGGCTTCATGCAGCGGCAAGGCTGTTAGGGATGGTCATTGCGAAGCGATCAGTTATGCAAGGGATTCTTCCCTCTCTCCACCTTCGCGATCAGCGCCATGCTGTGTTTTAGGAATTTGGCAGGAAAGAGCCGGAAGGGGAGTAGAGTTTGGGGACGGTTGTGGCCCATACGCAGCTGGAGGGTCGCCAGCTATTGACATAATCCTGTGGAGAATGTGCGAATGGCAGTTGCTTCATCTTTGTAGGGAACTAAGGCAGTCGTTTGGGAATAGGTTTTGCGAGCACACAGGAGCCGCTGCTCAAAGCAATGCCGCGCTGAGCGGTGGCCTGGGAAGTCATGCGCTGAGTCGCGATGCGCTAGGCAGCGTGGTTCTGGTTTCAAGATGGAAAGCACATTGGATAATCCGGTTTATTGTAAGGAAAGCCGTATTTCGACTGTATCAAAGTCAGCGCTCACTGAACGGTAACTTCACACTCCTTTCACCTCTATATATCAACATTATCTGATATGATACCCCTGCTGTACTCAACAACAAAACTACCCAAACTTTTAGCGTAAGTGGTCAATCGCACTGGAATTCACATGGCACATTTGCCTAGTACACGTCCAACACCAACTAAGTCTCCGCCTGCGTTGGCACCAACAGCATGCACCGAAAGGTCCATCCTGCCCACCCATCGAAGGAAGAATCCTTATATGGGTACCATCCAGAAGGACAGGAAGCCCGCGGCGCCTGAAGTCATGCAGCATCAACGCACGCGGCCCACAGACAACATCGTCCACATGCCAACGGTCGTTAATATACAGGGACCACGGCGATAATGAACGCTCCATCTCAGGCATGCATTCCTCGCAGCAGTCCACGTCGTGTCTTCGTACGCTGCTATTCCTTCTGCTCTCACCTTCCCTCACCTTGTTCTCTGGGTTATTTCCTCCAGCATGGATGCCCAGTCGGCTCGCGACGACACCACGCGCGAACTCAAGGTCATGCTAGCGTCCCAAGCCGACTGGGCATTCATGCTGGAGGAGACCGGAATTGCGCAAGCCTGCGCAATCCGTTGATTCGCCAGGAATAAGGTCAGTTGCAGGCAAGTTGCTCTGATGTCAGAGGGGGCCCCGCTCTGCTATCTGCATTCCCAAACAGGTCAGATTGCGAGTCTGAGGATGTAGAAATTCGCGGAAATGCCCCTGTGCAACGCAACATGAGGTGTCATTACTTCTCCCTGATGATAATTCGACATCAGAAACCCATTAACTGACCAACATTCTCAGACGGCACTCCCATTTGCCTTGACCATAGCTGAGGCGCAAGCCGGGCGCGTGCCCTGCGCCCATTTGGCAGCATGGCGTGCTTCAAGAGGCCGCAAATCATCCACAAAATTGTGCGGGAAGTTAGCCATCGACTGTGCCGGTTTTTCCGAGTATAAATACCTCTCGTGTCCGTACCATGACCAACTCTTGCTCTAAGTCAGGTTTGACTTCCGAGCCGACACTGGGAATCGACAGTCCAAAACGGGAACGGCGCCAGGAAGTCACCATGGCAGAAGCTGGGATTCTGCGTCCGGCGATAGGGGCGACCCTTGCAAAGAGGACGCAACACCTCTCCGCAGCTCTCCGGTGAGATGCGCAGCGTGCTCGCTTGGGAAGCTGCTACTCTCCGCGACATCACCGATAGCCGGGAATGTTCTCGTCGGTCAGATGCCGAGAGACATCAGGCTCGCGGCGGAATCTTGCGAGCGTCACTCGTGCACACGTCTGTATGGAAAGCTGTTTCGACTGGACACGTTTTGAACCTTGTCAGTTTGTGCATGGCCCCCCCCCACCCCCCACCCACCCACCCACCACCACCACCACCACGTGGTTGCCCTGTGTAGTCGCCCCGCGTATTTGCACGTTCGTGCATTGGAGAATGTTGCACGCCGGGGCTCGACACTTGCGAGATAGCACGCTTTGTCCACTGCGTTCACGCCCCGCTACGATCTGTTCTCCCAGAAGTTCATCGGTAACCGACCCGCAACGCGAGGGGCACCTGCGCGCTCGCTGAAGCACGCGCCGCGCTGCTTATAACTGGCAAGACGGACATGGAGAGCATGACGGCGCCACCGTGGAGGACGCTGTGGGTATTTCCGGTGATGTAAATTGGAGATTTTACCAGTTTTATGTGCAGACACCCCCGACGACACCACATTGTGATGCGCTCAGGGCGCACTATTCCTGTGGGGGCCGTGACAGCTACGACGGCGTGGCCCTGGAAAGTTCGATTACTGGGGTCAACAAGACACCTACAAAGATCCCAAAGCGGCTGCATCCAGAACAACTCTCCAGTTGTGCTCCTGCCTGCAGCGAGCGTGGAAATCGCGGCAGCTGTGCATCCAGTATACAAACAGACTGATTGTTGCGGTGCGAGACAAGGCGAAGCATGGAACAGGTAGAGAGCTTGAGGGCCTTGGGATGCTGGTCGCACCCCCGGGACGCCAGATGCTGGTCGCACCCCCGCAGGCAGACCGACTACGGTTGTGGGCACAACGCATGTGAAGAGCAGAGCAGCCACCTCGGATACGAATCCTGGAGTGTCCGCCTATATGGAGCCCGCGTGAAATACAGGAAACGGCATGTAAGGGAAAGATGGCATAGACAAAGAGACCACGAAGTACGGATGCAAGTACCAAATCTGTCCCATCTCTGGCTTCCATATCCACGTTTGCTGCACAAGAGCAGTCTTCTCTACATGAGGAGCTACGGCAATGAAGATGAGCTGAGCCAAACATCGTGTACAAGACGGACGGTGCATTCGTTAAAACATCAAGGTGCCTGCAAGCAACGACGCTGAAAATGCTGCCATGGTGCCAAAGAAATCTAACGCAGGAAGAAATCTCTTGATGGCTAGGGCGAGTGGTGCGATGTGCAAACAGCAGGTGTGTAGAGGGCTTTGCACAGTAGTATTTTATTCGTCAAATTTTGTAGGTGACTCCAATAAAATCCCATTAGCAGCACAGCGAATAATAAGACACTGATCTCTGTGCAGTGTGAGGACTGCGCTGTGGTTGTAATGTGTTTCCTCCCTTCCACAGTTGCATGGATGTGAGACAATCCAGGGTAGCGCTAAATTTTGCGAAAAGCGGCGCACTAAGAAAAAGATCACATGGACAGTGCTGAATGCTTGGCTTCCATTTTCTGCATGGGAGCAAAGTGCCTTAATGTGAGTGTGCAGCGCTTCGGGTCGCTTTTTTCTTCAAGTCATGGTCGAGGTGTATGCAAAGGCACAAGATCTCAAAATCAGGAATCGCAAGGCGCATGGCCCCAGTTCTGGGGACCCCAGTCTATACTGATTGGCGGGCCACTTGGAGTTCTGCAGAAAGGGCTGGCAGAGTAGGGCACGCGCGGCCACCTTATTCTGGCCCTTCATTTGGTTGGTCTTCGGTGGTTAGGGCAGTTGTGTTTTCGTGAACCGTGTCGCAAACTGGGGGACACGCATTGATTTGGCTTTGTGTGACATCCATCACCTTCGCTGAGGGGCACATGGCTAAGGGAACGTCAGACATTTAACGGATGCAATTCAAGTAGTTTCTCGACTTCTTTCTTCGCCTTGGTGGTTTCAACACCACATTTTATGAGAGTAGAGAAGCTAGCGCTGCAGTCGATAGCATTGACATCGGGGCACGCTGCGGCACAACGTTGGTCTCAGTGCCGCCTCAGACATTTGATCAAACAATACAAATTACAATGTATACAACAGTGCCTTTGCGCGCCTTCAGGCCGTCGTTTTATTATCAGGCACTGATCTACCATGGCGGCTGACAATCAAATAGCAATGACCAGCGTGGAATCACAAATAGATCAACAACGATTGTCAATTGACAGTTATATTGCTGTCGTGAAAACAGACGTTTGATCAAATATCTGCAACCGAACACCGCCGTCCGTACCCATCAGCATTCTGTCCGCGGACGGCCAATGGCGTGCACTTCCCTTTCGGTGAGCTGTCCTTTGTTCGGAATCCAACAACAGCAGCACCCCAAGACGTCCATATTTTTGTCGCGTGACATTTTTAGATATCAAAGTGGGCAAACAGGCTTTTCTTGATGCAAAACGATGGTCTTTTTATGGCTTGCTTTGGTTTCGGTGCAACAACGTAATCTTCTAGTGTCAACGGCATGGCCCCCTCCCATCCTTGGTGTCCATTGAGGGCTGATGGTGCAAATTCAAATTGCCTCTTTCTGTCTATCTTTAAATGGGTGCTCTGATTGTGATCTTGTCGACTGCTTGCCATTCTTGAATACTATAGAGATGTTTTGGACGGGTTGGTGGTTGGCACACAGTGAAACATGCTTTAAAGGCTATCAAACTTCTGGCAAGCAAGTGGAAGTACCCCATGAGACAATTGCTGCCGCCACAACTTCCCCCAAGCGATAAATTCAAGTCGCCAAAGCGGCGCGCTTTGAACACGGCCTTCTGCACTATGGATCCAAACTTGTTTGGAATTACACTTGAGAAGAACAGATCGCAGTCAGAATTGGACATAACACGCGGGACTGCACCCACAACAGGATCGGGGGGGACAGAATCTTGTTCGCGGTAACTATATCTTGTTAATAGATTCCACCCAGGACGACGTTGGGTGGGTTGCGCCGAGTTTCGAATCAGGGCAATCGTATTCAAACGGGTTTCTGGCCCTTCCTAGTACCTTGGGTCAGTCAAAGTACGGAGTGTCCAAGGGT